CAACCGCATTCAGGAAAAGCACTGAAGGTTCTCAGTTGAGAGCATTTCTTGGCCTGAGGGTGAACTCAAGACAAATGCAAAGTCTCTTCTGCTTGATGAGTCATGATTTCTGTCTTGGGACACAGCCAGAATCTGTTACCCCTGTGTCTCCTTCCCCACTGGACTTCACTTTTTAGACTAAACTGGGAAACTTATTTTTTGGGTAAAAGGTGCATCTGTGTTTAAATCTTCCTGTTCTTTCTTTTCCCTCTCTTCTAAGTTTGTTTCCAGTGATACTACATAAAGCAGGTGCAACCTGTAGAAGTTTTCAGAAAAACAATGAAAGTTGTGCCTGGAAACTTTGAAGGGATCTAGTGTGTGATACAAAGAAGCGAATGAGATATGTTATTTTATTTCTCCTTGAGAACTGCTGATGTTTAACGATCATGCTTAAATGTACTACAGTAACTTTAATGTACTACAGTTTTTCTCTAGACTAGCTCCTTTCCTTTGAAAGAAAGGGGGCCATTATTTCTAAAACATGTGTTCTTACTGGTAGTTTGTTAAATTCTTTCGGTTCTTGCCAGGAAGACTCAGCCTGACCTTCTTGAATTTGAGTAGTTAATTCTGTGTGCTGCTGGGATAACTCCCTCTTCCCTTGCTTCACTTGAGGCTAGTTTGGGGAAAGCATCCTTTCTTCCTTTCATTGATGGTACCAGAGTTGCTTAGAAGGGTTAGCAGAGGTTGACTACCTGGAATTGATTGGTTTGTTTAGGAGGAAGTCATCCTTATTCCAAATAGGAAATAACTTTCTCTTTTTGGATGGACTCCATAGTCTATCTAGTGAGTGAAAATTTTACTAGGCCAAACACAGATAGGGGAAATTTAAATAAGTGGAATTCATGTTTTGTATCAGCTCTGCTTACGTTTATGTGGCAGAAAGTGGTCTTTCCATAGTTTCAGAAGACAGTTGAATGTTCTGTTTTTTCTTCTGTGTTCTTTCCTGCTAGTGCATTAAGCCTGAGGATGATCTTCTGCATTATCCTCATATATCATAATGATTGATCTTTGGAATGTTAATTTGTAATGCTCCCAGATTATATTAGTCACTTTGAAGGGGATAATTCAGGAAGCAGCATCCGTGTACACTCTCATCTCTGAAGAAGTCGCTTCCTGTGTTTCTGTAATTATTTTCTGTAGAGGATGTTATATTATAAATAAGGTAGCAATACAGACTTAACTCTTTTAAGTTTGGTTGGTTCACAGACTCGATCTGGACTAAAGAAAAAAGGTGCATAGGAAGTCTTTGCAATAAAAACATGGTGCCATTCTTATTCAAGAAGGATGAGACAAAACAAAGCCTTTAAGATGAAAGACCAGTTGAATGAAAAGATGCTCCCAAATTTTCCTAGTTTCCTACTTACTTTAGGCAGAGCTGACTCAGAAGCTTAATTGGGGTAAAAAATATCCATATGAAGAGAAAACCCATCAGTTTCATAAACTGAACAACTTGTGAAGCTAGCACATTGACAGCATCTCTCACAGGCCACTCCAGCGACTGCCTCCTTTCAGGTAACCACTGTCCTCACTTCTAGCAGATGTGGGAGTGTTCCTGGATTTTTTAAATTACCTTATGTGGATGGAATAGCCCAGGGTGTGCTCTTGAGTGGCTTCTTTTGCTCTGCACAAACTTTATAGTAGGTCAGGTAATTTGGATCTTGTTTTAAAGATGATGGAAACAGAAAATTTGGCTTACAGAAAGTAGGGTTTTGGGCATTACTTATATGGTAGAATTAGGGAAAAATACTAGTGAAACAGAATCATACCTCATGATAGTCTGGTACCTACCTGAGTGACTTGCCTGGTGTGACTACAGTTTAGTTGAACAGGAAAATGCTGAGGAGCTCTTTCCACCAAGGTGACCCAGTACGCATTGCAGTCCCGTGTGTGGACTAGCACTCCACAGCAAACGGCTTAGTCTCTGTACTGAATTGACTATATATATTTTTTCGCTAGTGTTTGTCATTGTCCACCATCATGTCAAGATTAAAACAAGAATATTGTGCCTGCTGAGAAGATGGCGAGGGTTTCTATGTCACTTTTTTCCTATGAGAGAAGGGAAGGAAAGAGAGAAGAGAAGGAACAGACTAGGAAGCATGCAACTGTAATTAAACTGGTTCCACAGGTGACAGAGCATGGGACTTGATTGCATGGTCACGTGTCACTTATACTGTATCTATTCAGACAATAAATAATAGAAGTAGGCTATAATTTCATATTTCACTTGTACCATGTTTTCTGTATAACATGAAAAACATGCAGTAAATATATGCATATATGTAAAGTAGTATTAAAGCATGCTTTAATGTGAAAGGATAGAGATGTAAGTTTAGTATAAAACAATTTGTATAAATATAAGGGCTTAGAGGAGTTCAATGATAAATTAGACATAACCACAAATCTTAATGAGCATTTCGATAGTGAAACGAAATGTAGGCAGGTAGCCATAATGTGCTATAGAATGGTAGGGATGTTAAGAGGTAAGTGTGCAAAGTGAAATATTTACATTTATTGGGTTCTTTTCTGTCCGGGGCACTCTGCTAGCAATGTGCCATGTATTTTCTCACCAATTGCTCTGTAATGCCATGAGCTATGCACAAGTATAACTATCTGCATTTTATAGATCAGTGACATGGAGGCTAAGGAAAGGGCAGGGAGGAGGGCCTAAAGTGGGCTTGGATGCTTGGAGGCTGAGTAAACCAGGCTTGGGAATAAGAAGTAAAAGGGAGGAAGGATGGGCTTGTGGGGATGGTCAGTTGGTAAAGCACTGGCCTTGTGAACCTGAGGGGTCAAGTTCTCTGCCTAGAACCCATGTA